GTAACTCCATCCTTAATTATATCAGAAAATTAAATTGAAGTCAACTCAGATGCTTTTAATCTTTATTATTGAAGTACTGTTTCTAAAAAGTTGGTTCTTCCCTCTAAAAACCCAGAGTTTATAAAGTATATATATATTAGAGGCCTGGTGCACAAAAATTTGTGCACTGGGGGGGGAGAAGGGGTGTCTCTCAGCCCAGCCTATGCCCTCTGGTGGTCTGGGACCCCTCGGGGGATGTCCAACCTGTGGGAGCGCAGACCACCAGGGGCATCTCCTGCATTGAGCGTCTGCCCCCTGGTGGTCAGTGTGTGTCATAGTGACCAGTCATTCCTAGTTGTTCTGCTGTTGGGATCAATTTGCATATTACCCTTTTATTATATAGGATATGTATATAAAAATTTGTCAATGTAGCACCAAAAGGAGCTGCTCTCATCCTACTGTTAAGATAAACGTGTGCTTAGGAATTGCTTACTAAGGTAAACACACTTTGGTATCACCACTAACCACTCTCTCTTCCCGCAGGGGAGAACCCTCATATAGGCATAGACATGATAGACAACGATCAAGGCTCAAGTAGTCCCAGTAACGATGAAGCAGCAATGGCTGTCATAATGAGCCTCTTGGAAGCAGATGCTGGGCTGGGTGGCCCTGTTGACTTTAGCGACTTGCCATGGCCGCTGTAAACACTACGTGTTGCTTAGCAACAGCTACAGTATCAAAGTGCATTACTGGTGGAGCTTTACAGTCTGCGAAGCTTACTGGGTAAGGAGAGAACAGCTTTTATGTACCGTCTTCATAAAAGCCATCTCAGAGCCATTGATACAAGTCAATCTTACTATGTGTAACTTCAGACACAATGGAACTAAGCCTGCTCCAGTATTTCCTCATCATTGATTGGGCTAGCTGTGGATAGCTTGCATTAATTGTATATTTTGGATTCTGTTTGTGTTGAATTTTTTAATCATTGTGCACAGAAGCATCATTGGTAGCTTTTATATGCAAATGGTCATTTCAGATGTATGGTGTTTTTACACTACAAAGAAGTCCCCCATGTGGATATTTCTTATACTAATTGTATCATAAAGCTGTTTATTCTTCCTTGTAAGAATCCTTTACTATAAATATGGGTTAAAGTATAATGTATTAGACAGTTAAATATTTTTAATAAATGTTTCCCTTGTTCTATAAATACTGTTCACATTTCAAATAATTATAAAAACATGCTACAGGGCTGGTTCATCAATTTTCTCCTGTGGCTTTTAAGGATGATCCATGCCAATTCTGGAACTGGCATCATTCCTGTTAAAAGATTAGCTATTTGTTAAAGTAGTTAATCTCCAAATTGCTGCAATTTAGATATTACACAAAATTCAACCGTAGACATAACAAACACCCCCCACCCCCCGTGCTCACGGCTGTATGACTCCCAACACTGTGACCCCAGACCCAAAGCACCTGACTGCTACATCTGGTTCCTTCTTCATGGGTCACAGAATATTTTTTAAAAATATCATTTGTACAAGTAATAATACAAAGCAGAGTAAAAATGGAAAAAGCACCAAACTAGTGTCAGAAACTGGCTCTGAAACTTACTGTATGATCTAGTCAAGGTATTTCAGGCTGAACTAGAAAATGTCATCTTTTCAGATCTACTTTATGATTAGTAGGGAATCTAAGTGCCTCATCACATACATACCAAATTTGAGTCCATGCACTGCTTTGTTTTCCAATTATATTGACACCATGAAGACACGAAGTCTGCTAATTATGAGTAAAAGTGGTCAAGGTTATAAAGTTGATGAGAAACATTAAACAATGGAATTTTATTTTGATGAAAAACTCGAGTTTACAATCATTTAGTAAATGAAGAGCAAACACTTCATTTTCCTAACCCATAACTCTTATGAAAAAAATTAGTAAATAAATATCTGTGAACAGATTAAGGGTAAGGCAGACTGGATAATAAACCACCCCTGATGTTCACACTCCCTGCGTGTGACTCACTCTAAAAGGGTGAAGCCGGCACTGGAGATAACTGAACTCTTAAGATATGGGCACTGAATCTCATTCTAATCATTCAGATAAGCCCAATGATAAATATTTTTTTGCTCATCATGGGCAGTAAACTATACACATTTACTGAAGGAATACTTTGATAGAAGCACTTAAAGTTACATTGTGCATCACAACTATAAAAATGGCTTCAACAGTTCCATTTAACCACCATTTATAAAGTGCAACTATGTAATATTCTGCATTTTATCTGGGGTGTGACATATCAATCTAGACCGAAAGTACCCCAGCTGCCAATTTCCACCACCACGTCTGAAAAGATCTAATTGTGTGAAAAAGGACTGTCCCCCATACAAAGAACCAATTTCACAAACCTACTGGTAAACAAATACATTTATATAACTGGAACCTCAGGATGCTAGTTGTATGCATTTTAAAAGCCGGGGAATGTCTGCGGCAGCTGCTGCAAGGTTGGTGATAGATTTACTCTTTACACACTGAAAGTCTACATGCCGACTCTTTCCTTCTTCCTTCTCCCAGGACATTCGAATAAAGGGTCTTTGGACATAGTTGTAAATCACTTCTGGGCGGCCCCCAGGCCTTTTCTTTATTTTTTCTTTATAGGTAGGATAACCTGGAGGAGAGAGGGGCTTTAGAAGCTGAAGATACATACTCCCACATACATGGCCCCCCACACCTCTCATCCAATTTAGTCTAGAGGGCTTTTCTGCTGTAGCTCCTGAACAAGCAGATATTAAAAAAAGAAAGGCCAATATTCCATTTCCTTTGTTTGAATTATTTCAGAATTTTAGTTTCTGGCTGTTGAACTGATGACTGTCTGCCATCCTCTCTTAGCTACTCACTACACCAACCACCAGTAAAATGTTCTTCAAGAGCATGGAAAGGATGGGTCCCCAGTGAAATGGTATGTAATCTAGTGCATCTTGGGCTCTAGCTGTGTATTCTTACTACTCTTGCACCCTTCCTTCCCTTCACAGGATTATCTGGCCTCATGACCTGATGAAGTTTACTGCCACATCTGCCTTCTACTTTCCTTAAACCTAAATCACATTTTCATCTTGCTCTGGTTTTCTTCTTTCCTTTTCTGGTTAAATGACAAAGAGCTGTAGAGCTCTCCAGCTTCACTGTTCTAGATACTTCTGCACGTAGGTAAGCAAAGCCAGTATTTTAACCCCATATATTTTATTGCTACTATTTCCAACAACCAAGCATTTCATCTAGATTGGCAATTCCAAAGTAGCTTTTCCTAACTAATTATATATTCCTTCTCTTGGATCACAATCACTGAAAACAACTAACTAGTAAGATTTGGAAAACTTTGGCTCATTTACCAGGTAATGCAATTCTCCAAAGACATAATAGCCTTAGAAATTATTACGAGTCCCTTTCCTCCTTCCTATTAGCAAGAATTGCTAGTTTAGACCAGGGACTGGCAAACATTTTCTGTAAGGCCAGAAAATAAATATACATTTGAGGCTTGTGGGCCATTCGGTTGCTATCTCAACTATGTTATACTGTAAAGTGAAATCAGCTACAGACAATACATAAATGAATGAACTATGTTTCAATAAACTACTTATAAAAAGCAGGCAATGGACTGGATTTGGCCCATGGGCCATAGTTAGAATCAGAAAAAAAATAGGCCTCATATAATGGGGACTCAATGCTTACTGCATAAGGGGATCTATATGGGCAGTAGTGGTAGGTAATGTATATATTTAGCTACGTGTGGAGTGGGGGTGTGTGTGTGTGTGTTGAGGTGAGGAGGGCACAGGGCAAGCAGGACTAAAGACCTTCTGCAGAATGTCCTCTGCATTTCACACTTCAGCCAACTACCACCTGAAGGACGGCACGAGAGATCAGAAAAGTCTCCATCTGTATTCCCTCGTCCTGGATTCCTCTGGGGCTATTAGTAAGTCTTTAAAATTCCCATCTCATCTAATTCTCTACACAGAATCACAATTCTAACACAAGTGTAATCATATTATATCCTGCTAAAAAAAATACCAATAGTTTTCTCAACCCTAAAGGGGAAGGTCCGTACTCTGTAGCATAGTATATAAAGCTTTTTATAACCTGGTTCCAACCTACTTGTCGTTGGGCTTCAACTAAAATGCCACCTTGTTACAGAAGCCATCCTTGTCTTCTCAATCTAAAGTAGCTCCCAGTTGCTTTTTCTCTTGCTCTGAGATCAAGCAGTTAAATCTCAATGTTTGCAAATGAGAGAAGACACAAACTGGAAAACTGTCAGCAATTTCACTACTTTTTTTTAAGCCCAAAGTTTCTTCTTCCCACAAAGACCCTGTTTTTGCAATCTTCCCCATGTCTCAGCAGCCCATTAGAGTAAGCCTTCACATATGTTGTCAATAGGTTTTGTGACTTTAAGCAAATGATAAAATGAAACCAATTTTACCAAAGGCTAATAGATATAAACAAGAGTCAAGTTCCTACAGTATCTCACCAATGTTGTGACAAAATTGTTCGAGGATCTGCTGTATTGTGATCTCCAACAGCTTGACTTGGTCAGTGATCAACACCATTATCGTCACTATCCCCACCACAAACATAAACTGAGAAATTACTACTGCTTTAAGTGTTTTTCATGTATCAACTCATTCTATCGTCACAATAACCCTATAAAGTATTTAGATGAGGACACCGGCATAGAGAAGTGCGGTGGCCAACATCAAACAATTATTAAGTCATAGGATTTGAACACAACCAATCTGGCTCCAGAAGCTTTATTCTTTACACTATGCCATGTTATGCCAAGAAAGATGTTTTATTCTTACAAGGGGACTTTAAATAAAAGAAGCATCTGACACAGCATCTGGAAAAATTCATTTAAGTCAATGTGAAAAGCAATCCAAAAACATATGGGCTCAGCCAAAAAATCATTAGGGCAAGTTATAACAGAAAAGGTAATTCATATTTCTCATTGCTAGGGAATCCTGTGGAATAAAAATTTCTAATGGCCTATTTTCTCAGAAAGGAAGCTTATTATAAACATAAATAGATCTACATGATCATTTGATATAATCATTTATCTGAGTTTTCCTCTCAAACTATATTCTACATGAAATCCAATTTTTAACTTTTTTTTTCAAAACAAATTAACAAAATATAATGAAAATGTCTTACCTTCTATTCCCAATCGAATCTTCTTAAGACCCCTCTCCTTCAAAACTGATTTGGCCACATCTCTGTTTTCAATGTACTTGAAAAATCTGTATAATTTTGTGCTATAAATAACTGAAAACAAAAAGAAAAAATATTTTCTTGTTAAAAATCAAAGTACTTGAATATAAGAAACTTATTCTGATAATAAAATGGGGCTCACAACCCTGAAAGCCCACATAGTGGATGCAGTGATGCCAAAGGACGGCTGGCCAACATGACAGGACAATTCAGTACAGTTAATGTAAAAGCAACACTGAAGTTGAAACAAGAAAAGCTTTAAAACCAATCAGGTGACCCAATCCATAGGAAGAAGCTCCTTCTGAAAGATATATCATATGTAAACTTATTGGAAGAGGATCTGCCCAAATTTCTTCAAATCAGAGAACCAAAAGAAGATATCGAGATCACATTTTCCAGCAGGCAAAGTTCAAGGACTTGCTATGATGCCTACAAGGCCTTGTCTGAGACTAACAAATGCCTTGTTAGGAAGTACAAATGGATACATCTTACATTTCATGGATTGAGCAACTATTAATAATAACTCCCCAAAAAGGCAAAGACCCTCCCCACAAATGTTTTCCATTCAGGCGAACAGCCCCATTTAAAACTGATGTTAAAAATGGCAGATTCGAGCATGTTCTGCCTAGGTTAGTCTGTTTAGAGCAAACTGGCTTTGCAAAGGACAGACATTCCACTGACAACATGTTGAGTCTTCCACATGTGCTGGGAACTTCAGGGAGTTAGACTGATGGGCCTTCCTCGCCTTCTCTCTTTCAGGTGGAGTTATCTCCCTTAAAAGGTGAACTGCAAAGGTTTTTTTCAAAAAAAAAAAAAAAAGAAAAAAACACTCACAAACCAAACATGCTGGTTTAAGAGTCAATAAAAGAAAAATACGTATACAGATGCTACTCATGGAGTATACTGTGATTATTAACTATGCCCTTAAGACTATTGATATGTTAAGATACATATTTTTGACATCTCAGAATGGATGGTGTCATAATGTCACATTTAGGAAAATCAGGCGTGAAGAGGCTATCTCTGTCTCCTCAAATGAATGTTCTTTCAGGTTGGACTATCTTGGCACAAAATGAACCATTTAGACAAGTAAAAAATGTTTTCAGTCCTTTTAAGCGTCAAAGCTTAAGATAACAAAAAACAAACAACAAAAAAACAACAACACTGAAATGGAAAGCTCACAATTAAGGAAAAGCCAGGTATATTATAACCTCTACATCACCAGAATGTCATTTCTGTGTTCTATGTTGGCTCTACTCTTTCAGTCAAACTTTTTGAAAACTAAAATACAAATTATAAGTTTGTTCATTTAGATATCTCTCTTAATTTTTGCTAATCTTTCATTTTTCCTGTGTTTCATTCAACTTTTTATTCCACATATTATTATAGAAACCCATGGTTAGCAAAGGGCCTACGAATGAGGAAATAACAACAGAACTATTACTACAATTGTCACAAAAGAATCACTTATCTAAGTACATCATGCAATGAAAATGTCTCATTATAAACTCTGAAAAGTGCTACCAATATTTGTGAAAAAACAGTCTTTGAAAATCTTCTTTAGAAGTTAAAAAGCATACCACTTGGAGTCTACTTTGTTTTGTTTTTAGAAAAGGGTAACAAGTAAAATGAAAAAAAATCATTTAAGGGTCTAGGCATTTTCTGTATTCGTACACTTTTTATTTAAACCTTACCAAGTCAACACAGACTTACAGATGCTGGGCTATTTTACCTAGTTCCTCAAATGTTTTTTGTTTTGTTTTTTACTCTCCCTTTTTTTCAGTCTATAAAACTGGTCAAAAATACTCTATTGGATTCATGAAGATGAAAATAAGATAAATTTTCTAACAAAAAGAAATCAAAAGGCTCTAATGGAAAACGTTTGAAAGTGAAGCAAGCAAAAAGTTGGTCGCCCTGACTGGTTTGACTCAGTGGATAGAGCTTCGGCCTGCAAACTGAAAGGTCCCAGATTCAATTCCGGTCAAAGGCATGTACCTTGGTTTCGGGCACATCCCCAGTAGGTGGTGTGCAGGAGGCAGCTGATCGATGTTTCTCTCTCATCGATGTTTCTAACTCTCTCTCCTTTCCTCTCTGTAAAAAATCAATAAAATATATTTTGAAGAAAAAAAAAAAGTTTGTCACTGCTGCTCAAGACACACTGTTTTGGTCAGAATTACCTAACTATAGCTCCACAAAGCTTTCTGAAGGCTCATTGTATCCTCCAAACGCAGATACTTAAAAAGGAACATCTTAGAAATTAAAATCATTCTTGAAATCAGTGTGTTGAAGCTTCTCATTTTATATACAAATAAAAATTCACCTTTAAAAATTGCTTAGCCCTAGCCGGTTTGGCTCAGTGGATAGAGCGCCGGCCTGCGACTCAAGGGTCCCGGGTTCGATTCCGGTCAAGGGCATGTACCCTGGTTGCGGGCACATCCCCAGTAGGAGGTGTGCAGGAGGCAGCTGATCGATGTTTCTCTCTCATCGATGTTTCTAACTCTCTCTCCTTTCCTCTCTGTAAAAAATCAATAAAATATATTTAAAAAAAAGATTATGAAGGATAAACAAGATTCATTAATTCTTTTTTGGAACTACATCACTACTAGTATAATCACTACAAACGTTATCACTTTCTATGTCAGAGTCAGTATTCAAGGTGCCAAAATAAAACTCTTCATCGTTACTTTCAGATTCACAGTACACTTCTTTCGGTAACTTTCTTTTTGCCATTTTGGAGTATTATTTTGAAATATCTTAACAAGCGAGAATGCCTAATTAGTTAAACGTAATTTGTAAAGCTTTATTTGAAATTCTGTGAAGTATCTCCGAAGCTTGTCGATTTCTTCTCTCTCAAAAGGCGACTGACTCGCCACGGTGTTTTGCATGGCGAGTGTGGAACGACCACGTTTGTTTATATTGAGTTTCGATATCTCCGATTTGTCGGGGCAATGTTTTGGTTCGTGACAAGGTCGCTTAGACACTTGAGCTTTCAGAGAAATTATGAACTGATACATGAATGAATAGAGTTAAGATTCGTACGGTTCCTTGCTGTGGTGGCTGAGAGCAGATATACAACCAGAACGGTAAAAAAGCTTTGGTGGCTGAGAGTAGACAAACGACCGCAAAGGGTTAAAATATATTTATAAATAAATAAATAAAAATTAAAAACGGGTTTTTAATGATATACTACCCCAGGATCTACTTCTCTAGGATGTTTCCAAATTCAAAGAAAAAAACATCCATCAACATCCAGATATTGAACAAAGAGTAGACCATCTCTGTGTGTGTCAGGGGTGGGCACACTTTTCCTGTAAGGGCCAGATAGTAAGTATCTTGGGCTTTGCGAGTCATGCAGTCTCCGTTGCAACTACTGAACTCTGACACTGTAGCACAAAAGCAGCCATAGACAATACAGAAAACTTTATAAAAACAGGCAATAGGCTGGACTTGGCCCACAGACCAGTCTGCACACTCCTGGTATAGTTAAGAGTTCAATGCACTTTCTTTATAAAAACTGTCCTTTTAATCATTATTTTTTTAAAAAGAATTTTTATGATTCTAGAGAGAGAAAACATGTCACAATACTTACTTTGTGAATATTCTTCTCCCATCTGGGGTGGATACTCTTCATCCCAATCAACCACATCGTCGTCCGTCAGCACCACTATGTGGCACTCTCGTTCCCCACTCTGGGCACTTGCTACCATGAGAGGCAGGACCATTTCTTCTAGATAAAATTCAAACTGTCTACGAGCACCATCGTTTGATAACTCATGCATTAGGGCACCTGAAATGAAACCCACAAAAAACTTTTTTGGGGGGTGACTAAGTAAAAGAAGAGCAGAAGCAACACACACAACATGAGATTAGTTCAACATCTATTTTTAGATCCCATAGACAATATTGTGGTTATTCTTTAGTAAGCAAAGCTTTTCCTAGGGGTATTCTTATAGAACTATAGAATTATACAGCAAAAAAGGGCCAATAAAGGCATGCAACAACATGCCCCTTCATTTCACACATCATGAAATAATCTGTCTACGGTTACAAAACTACTTTACACAAAGTCAGAATTAAATCTGCCCCTACCCCCAGCCATAACCCAGGCATTTTTCTTTACTACATCATGTTGACTTCCATCAGAATATGCAATTATATCTTAAAGATATTAAGGATAATTTTCAGATTATCAATATAAACTAAAATAGCTCCCATATTATTCTACCTCCCACATGTTTTCTTTCTCAGAAAATTATTCACAAACTGCATTAATATTTCAGTGTAGAAAGAGGGGTTAGATGAGAAGGGTCAACTGGCTTGAGATAAGGAAGGTAAAAGGCAAAGCAAAATACAGCAAGGTACAGGAATTACATAGCAGACCTTTCACCCTTGAGAAAAGTGCAAGATATACTTCACCCTCCTTAAGTATAGACATAACAAACAAGTTCAAAATACACAGCCACACAAACTCACCTAAAATGACCTAATGTTTCTTCTTTTATTCCTATTTCAATGGCAATGTCCTATTTATTGCCTAAAGCTCTACCATCTCAGGAACTACTGGGAGATTAGAGAAGGGCACTAGAACTCAAATCTGTATCTCCCAAGGGGGTGTATCCCCCCTACAACATGCTGTCTAATTACATAACTATTAATAACACATCATTATAATGATTAACCATCTATACCAGCAGTTCTCAACCTGTGGGTCACAACCCCTTTGGGGGTCGAATGACCCTTTCACAGGGGTCACCTAAGACCATCGGCAATCACATATATAATTACATATTGTTTTTGTGATTAATCACTATGCTTTAATTATGTTCAATTTGTAACAATGAAAATACATCCTGCATATCAGATAATTACATTACGATTCATAACAGTAGCAAAATTACAGTTATGAAGTAGCAACGAAAATAATTTTATGGTTGGGGGTCACCACAACATGAGGAACTGTATTAAAGGGTCACGGCATTAGGAAGGTTGAGAACCACTGATCTATACTATTATTTTAACCATGTCTCTCCCTAGGCTAGCTGCTTCCCATTTTTAAAAAATTCCATTTAAACTATCTAATATGGTCCACTTAGATAAAAAGATCTTGGAAAGGAGATGTTCAAAGGTGCATAAATTTAAGAGTCCTCGGGAATTAAAAATAGTTCTTCCCCTGGCCGGTTTGGCTCAGTGAATAGAGCGTCAGCCTGCAAACCAAAGGGTCCCAGGTTTGATTACTGCCACTAAATATTTATAATTGTGGATTTTCAATCACAACTTTATAAATATTAGTGATTTTTTTCCCTTCTGGGATATTTTATCCTATACTAGAGGCCCAGTGCATGAAATTCATGCACGGGAGGAGGGTGCGGGGGGGGGGGGGCCCTCAGCCCAGCCTTCACCCTCCTCAATTTGGGATCCGTCAGGGAATGTCCGACTGCTGGTTCTCCTGATCCCACAGGGGATCGGCAGTCAGACATCCCTCTCACAATCCGGGACTGCTGGCTCTCAACCACTCACCTGCCTGCCAGCCTAAGCACCCCCTAACCACTCCCCTACCAGCCTGATCAATGCCTAACTTTTCCCCTGCCAGCCTGGTCCCCCCCTCCACCACAAATGCCCTCCCCTGCCGGCCCGGTCACTCCCATTTGCCCTCCCCTGCAGGCCCATTCCCCCCAACTGCCCTCCCCTGCAGGCCTGGTACCCCCAACTGCCTTCCCCTGCTGACCTGATTGCCCACAACTGCCCTCCCCTGCCAGCCATCTTGTGCCCACATGGCGGTGGACCGTCTTGTACGAGGGTGTGCAGTCAATTTGCATATTACCTCTATTATATAGGATAATAAAAGGCTAATATGCAAATTGATTGAACAGCAGAATGACCGGTCGCTATGATGCTCACTGACCACCAGGGGACAGACGCTCAACACAGGAGCTGCCCCCTGGTGGTCAGTGCGCTCAGCCAGAAGCCGGGTTCATGGCTGGCATGCGCAGCTGTGGTGATGGGAGCCTCTCCCGCCTCTACTGCAGCTGGGCGGTAAGGAGTGAGGGGTCCCAGACTGCCAGAGGGAGCAGGCCAGGCTGAGGGACACCCTCCTACCCCCCGAGCATGAATCTTGTGCACTGGGCCTCTAGTAAAATACATAAAATTTAATCTAAGGTAAAGTATGCAATCTTTTGTGTAAGTAATTTTACCTTGGGCATAAAAGAATCTTAGCTATATGGACTGGAATACCATTAGGGTACTAGTAAGCAACATAAAAAATCAGATTCAGCTGTGATTTAAAAGATAAATTAATCAAATGACTATTCAGAGTTGTACACATGGTTAAAGGAAGCAGCAATGAATGTTGAAGCACCCAGGTACTAGTAAAAGTAGGAAATCATTACTAACTCTAGACCTGGAAGGAAAAGGGACAGAAACTTCTTTATCACAGCCAGTTAAGAAATGGAGCTGAGGAAGATAAGATGTGGCCATGAAGGAGGGGGAATTTAGCCTCTTCCAGAAACACGAGATGAATAAAGCTGGCAAATTATCCATGATGGTAGCTGACTTTTTGAAGGATGAGATCTCAACTCTCAGTGAGATATTAACCATATTGCTAATGATCAGAATTATGATTTACACTATGCACTTTATTTGAGGATATGATGGCATATTTCATTAATAGCTGCCATAAAAGTGTCAATAATAGTGTAGCTAAACTGTTAGATATCTTTAACCAATTGCTTTTCATGTCAATACATATGTAACTTGTCAAAAATCTGGGATTCTAAATATTTGTAATTGTGGATTTTCAATCACAATTTATGATACAGATTCTTCATAGAAGTACACTGAGTGGCAATAATGCGAGACTTGGTATAGCCCTTTTATAATGGGTATAATATTCATCCCTGAGAGGTCTTATGAGAGTACTGTATGTGCCACTGCTTTCTAAAGTGCTGTGCAAATGTCAGCTTTAATGACCAGAAATGGTATTTGAAATACAATCCATTTGTATGTTGTCAATTGCTTATGATATGAATTCCAGTAGGTGATGCTAGATGTTTACACTTGAATCACAATTATTTTGATGGTATAAAGAAATGGAATACAATGCCCATATTATTAATAGTGAGACATATTGTTACAAAATTAAAACTACTTTGCAATATGTTGCTAATTACTTTCCAAACTAACTCTATATGTAGATTGAATCTCTCCCCCTCATCCTTAAAATGCTCTTATCCCTAAGAACTCTGTTACCAGTTTTCTTTCTCCTCTTTGGCTGTTTTTCTCTAGTCACCTCTGCCAACTCTTTCTCCTCTAGGGTGTGCACAATTTTAAGTTCTTTTCTCTTCTCACTTTATGCTGACAATTCCCAAATGTATTCTATGAATATTCTGCCTTCTGTAGTCTAGATGCATTATATTCAACTGCCTTCTGGAAAGCTCCACTTGGATGCCACCTCACAGGCATCTACTTCAAACTCACTCAATATATCCAGAATTGAACTGAATCCTCTCTATATCTCTCTGCAGTGTTTTCAAAATCAGTAAATAGCATCAGCATCCACTCAAGTACTCAGAATCACCTCAGAAGAGTGCCAGGCATTGACAGGCACAGGCACTGAAATAGTTGTGAAATAAATGAATGGATCCTTGATTCCTCTTTCATCTCTTAATTCAATCATTCCCCAAGTGCTATTACGTTCACCTCTTAAATACATCTTGAATTATGTCATTTCCTTCTCTAGAAGATGATGTTTTGCAAAGCTACCAACTCTTGTATGCCACATGCTTTTCTGCAATGTGACCTTCACAGCTCCTTGCAGGAGGTGTAGTCTAATTCTCCTCCCCTTTATTTAGGCTGGTCATACTGACTTGCTTGTAACCAGCGGAGCATGGCAGAGATGATGGTTGGTGTATGACTTGCAGTTTTGCCATGGTCTGGGGATTGCTCACTCTCCAAATGATTTCTTTCTGAACCCCGTCTCCAGGCTTGGAGAAGCCCCAGACACATGAAGAGGCCACATACAGGAACTGTGTTCGTCAGTTCTCGCTGAACCCAGTATTTGAGTCACCTCACCCCTCCATTTTTTCATAAGAATTAGGCCTCAAACATTGTAAAACAGACAAGCCACCTCTTTTGTACCATCTGAATTCTTGACCCACAGAACAAAAATGATACTTGATGCTACTAAGTTTGGAATGGTTAAATAGCAATAAACAGAACACATCTGCCCCCATCACAGACCAAGTCATCAATTTTCACACAAACTACTGTAAAACCTTCTAATCAAACTCCCCAACATTTGCTTTTGCCCTCTATAGAGACGTACCCCCTTATCTATGGTTTCGCTTTCTGCAATTTCAGTTACCCACAATCAACCATGGTCCAAAAATATTAAATGAAAAATACCAAGAGCATCTGAAATCTTGCTTCCTGGCATATGATGTCAGTTTGGCTCAAATAACTCTTTAAAAAAAAAAGGAAAGAAAGAAACAATTCATACATTTTAAATTGCATGCTGTTCAGAGCAGCATGATGAAATCTTGTACTGTCCAGCTCTGTGCAACCCAGAACATGAATCCTCATTTTGTACAGCATGTCCACATTGCACACACTACCTGCCCTAGTCACTAGTTGCTGTCCAGGTTATTAGGTCCACTGTCGCAGTAACACAGTCCTTGTATCCAAGTCACCCTTATTTTACTTAATAATGGCCCCAAAGCACAAGAATAGTGATGCTGGCAATTCAGACATGCCAAAGAAAAGTCATGAAGTATTTCCTTTAAGTGGAAAGGTGAAAGTTCTTGATTTAAGGAAAGAAAAAAAAATTAATATGCTGAGGTTGATAAGATCTATGGTAAGAACGAATCTTCTGTGAAATTGTGAAAAAGGAAAAAGAAATTCATGCTAGTTTTGTTGTTACACCTCAAAATTGCAAAAGTTAAAACTACGGAGCATCATAAGTACTTAATTAAAAGGCATGAAACTTGTGGGTGGAAGACATGAACAGAAAATGTATATCTGTATATGAGGTTGCAGGGATCCACTGGGGGTCTTTGAATACAGTTCCCTCAGATAAGGGGGAACTACTGTAATTCATTTTCCCCACAGCAGCCAAATCTAATTATCTCTCTCTTAGTTTAAAGCTTTCATGACTTGTGCTGTTCTTAGAATAAAAGTCCCATGCCCTAGCCGACTTGGCTCAGTGGATAGAGCGTCAGCCTGCGGACTGAAGGGTCCCAGGTTCGATTCCAGCCAAGGGCACATATCTGGGTTGCCAGCTCGATCCCCAGTAAGGGGCGTGCAGGAAACAGCCAATCAATGGTTCTCTATCATCACTGATGTTTCCATCACTCTCTCCTTCCTCTCTGAAATCAATAAAGAAATATATTTCAAAAAATAAAAGTCCCAAATCTTCACCTTGATCCATAAAGCCCTGTTATTTGAAAAAGGAGGTTTTGGTAAGTGTGTACTTTTAAAAAATATTTTCTTTAAATACTATTGATATATTGATGACTCATTTCTCTCTTGAACTTTAGACATGTATAACCAATGTCCCACTCAACATTTCCATCTGAGTGTCTAACAGGTTATTTCAAACTTAACATGTATTTTTATTTCTTTTAGCCCTAGGCCTTCATTCCTGAGTTCAACCCTGGTTCTCAAAACCTCTTCTGGGTTACAGTGCTTGCCTAGGAAGAGAATGTATACACTGAAGAAATCTACAGCCTAGTTGGGGAGCTACTATAAACCACAGATTTCCTTCATTACATTAAGTTCCATGCCAGAAGATTGAGAAGTCAGTCCTTCCCTGTACTAACCTTACCTCTATACTTAAAATTCGTTCTGCTTGGAACACACTTCTTACCTTTCCTCCAGAAAGCTTCCTCAAGCCCTCACACCCGAGTTAGGTACTGTTCCTACAAGTTCATTTAATACCCTATTCTTCCTCTAACACCAAAATACAATTTACTTATCTGTCTTCCCCACTAGATTACAAGCATGCAAACAGTGACCTTATCTTTTTTTGTTGTCTTTTATAAACCAAATATTTGCTATAAAGTGCTCAATAAAAATGCAGAAAATGATTGATTACTATGTAATCATTAAACAATGTTATTTAAAAATATTTACTAATATAGTTATTCACAATATATTTTTCCATGTGAAAATATAAATAGCATGTACAGTACAATATGACCCTTTAATATTTTTCTTTTTAAGTTTCCTTTATTTCCTAATTTCGCTTATTTTTGTAAGTAAACCCTTATTTAACACTGTGTCAAGCACAGTTCATTTAATCTTCACAACAACCTAGTATTACCATCTCCATTTTAAAGATGAGGAAACTACGAAACAAGGTTTTAAGTAATTTGCCCAAGAAATGGAGAACTCTATTTGATAAGCATTTAGTACTTGTATAATTTCTTTTTAAGTTAAGAGACAAAAAGACATTTTAATGTCAAGTGTCATTCCAGTGGTCAGTAAACGCACTTATTTTCAGGAAAAAAATTTAAAGCTATACACCCACAGCATCCTTTTATATTTCTAAAGACTATTTCTGTCTCTTCACATTCTATATATTTTTGTTTTACTAATCTATAAGAATCTTAAATTTTTAGCAACATATATTGCAAGTAACCTAGAAATAATTTTAAGTATTACTTAAAAGTCAGAAGTCTATGGAGAGCATTATGCTAAGTGAAATAAGCCAGTCAGAGAAAGATAAATACCACATGATCTCACTCATTTGTGGATTATAGAGAACAACATAGACTGATGAAAAGGGACAGACCCAAAGACTGAGAAACAGCGATCAGGCTATCAATCCCCAGTAGGAAAGTAGGGGAGGGCGGGGGTAAGGGGGAAGAGATCAACCGAAGGACTTGTGTACATGTGTATAAGCCAAACCAATGGACATGGACAACAGGGGGATGGGAGCATGAGTGTGCGGGGCGAGGGGGGGAGGAGGTTGGGGCTTAATGGGGGGGATGAGGACACATTTGTAATACCTTAATAATAAAAAAAAAAGTCAGAAGTCTAGAAAAACCATACTATATATATTTTACATGAAGGTTTTACCCTTAATTCCACAACAAATAAATGAAACTTAATAGCGACAAGGTAACTATGTCCAAAGGATTACAGAACTAAAATCCAAATCATCTCTAAGAAATTCTAGTGGTTTTTTTTTATTCGACAGTCACCAAAATTCAACATCTAATTATATAAAGTTAAATTAAAATTGTCCCATGAATAAATACACTAAACTTAAAAGTCTAGGATCTATAATTAGAATAATGAATGCTCATGGTTTCAACTAAAAAACATTTTTTAAATGTGAAAAAATAGCAACTCTTTTCAAGTTTACAGTTGTATGTTCCAGGCATCCAACAATTTGACTTTAAACTTTTAAATATTATTTAGAGAAATGGACTGAGTTGGACCATTCACTGCTTTGTGACACCTACTGATATTTTTATGGACACTTTAAGGAATGTTTGGCAAAACTAAAACTGTACTTAGGGAGAGACTTAATAAGACTACTCATTTTCAGAGTTAATTCATAACTAAGCATGAAGAAGGCTAGTTATATTTAAGTATACAGGAGGTGCCTTAAAATTTTTAAATAAAAGTTCCCGTTCAGTTTCCAACACACCAATCTCTAAAAAGGTATAACACCACTCTGCCAAGCTAGGATTGAATTTAGATAATAAAGATAACCATTATGTCTGGGGCTAACATAAGGCTATAACCACATATAGGAAACCTTAAAAATGGCCTCTATGTTGCATATAAAATAAAATGTAAGAGCATTAGTTTGGATTAAAGACCTCCCATAATCTGGCCCACCTATTTATTCCTGTCTCCTTCTGGTCCTGATATAAAGTCTCTGCTCCAACTAGGTTATTTCCAAAGTACATATTTTGCATCTTTATTCCAAAAATCCCAGCTCTCAGAATGACCTCCCTACTCTACTCTTTCTAAATCTTTCCTATTCATTCTTTACTACCTGTATCCTTTGGACTCATCCCTAAAACCTCTAGCCCACAATAACCACTCCTTCTTCTGAACTTCTCCAACCACTTAATATCAAGTCTACATTGGACAATTCTCATATACTATTTTGACGTTTCTGTATATAATCAATCACCTTTTCTTCTTAGGCATGGCATAACGGTGAAATGGTTGGGGCTGATATTCTCTTCTTGTGAGAAGAGAATATCAAAGAAATAGGATTCCAAAGTTCTGGACCTTGCTCTGAGACTATGTTTGAAGTTCCTGAACCTTTAACCCTTTGGCATAACTGAGGACTAGGTATTCAATCTAAGATCTTTAATGACAAATACTGGTTTTGAGAATTAGTGGCTTAGAATATTATCTTACAGGCTAAGTACAAAAAATTTCTGAAATACTGGTTGATGTGATCTGAGGAATTAAGCCAAACACCACACTTGACTCAAGCCAGGGCTCCCAAGCTGATAGTTAAAAAGACTAGCAACAAATTATAGAGGAAAACAGTCAATGAAATCTGGAAGAGTCTATCAAAAAATAAATTATTAAAAGTTGAAAACAGTTTTGGAAAATTGCACATGGAGCTTATAAACACCTCTGTAGATTTCCATAAATAATCTTTACGGTATTAAAATACTTTACAATTCAGTTAAATATTTGAAGTCTAGGTAAATAGCACTATTTCAGCCTTTTCATTCCACTATATAGTATAACTCCACAAACTAGTCACACACAAAAGAGCATACTTACTGAGATCTCTACATTTAATAGTACTATATTCAAAAGAGATACAAAGATAGTCACATGCTTCTCTCAGTTCAGGAATAGATATGCCATCAGGACAACGAATTACTCCTGTTTTATAGTAATCCTAAAAAAAAAAAAAGGCAAGAATGAATAAAACATTTGTAAAACATTTGGAGCATGAGGTAGCCAAAACTTATTATTAAGGCCCAATTGCTTCACTGACTCACACAGTCATAAAATTATTTAATAGCAGGTAAGATAAAAATCTAAATCTCCCCATTATTTACATATCTCTCTACTATGCCATGCTAAATCATATGTATTTCCCCCCTATGAGTTATTTCTTTATGTAACTACCACATATTTTTAAGTTGTTTTTTAAGAACCTATTTATTTATTTTAATCCTCACCTGAGGATATTTTTCCATTGATTTTTAGGACGAGTAGGAGACAGAGGGAAAGACAGAGAGAAACATTGATGTGAGAGAAACACATTGATTGGTTGCCTCCTGCACACACCCCGACCAGGGCCCGCACGGGGGAGGACCCTGCAACCAAGGTATATGCCCTTGACCAGAATCAAACCCAGAACCCTTTGGTCCGCAAACTGACTCTATCCACTGAGTCAAAAC